TCCTTCCAAGGAGTGGCTGGTGGGTTTGAACTGCTAGCCTTCTGGTTAGCAATCAAATGCCTTAGGCACTATGCCACCAGAGCTCCCTCCATTATAGTTAGGTGTCTTAATTCAATTAGGGCAGTTCCTACTGTCAAATCTGGTTTACATTAAATGGCAGTCACAGCAGTCTTCAGGTATGCTGGGGCTCCCTTCACAAATTTGTTCCTCACCGTAGTGACAAAAGGTGTGTCTTCTGGGTATTCCATTTATGAGTCTTTGGGTCTAATCTGATAAATCCATTCTAACATGCCAATTTCCCTAAGACTTTGGATACCTTCTTCTACACTGTACCAAGGCAGGTCTTGTACTACAACTTGACTTAGCATTTTGTTTGTTGTTATGTGCCTGTAGGCCACACATAATCCATGCTTCAGTAAACCAACCAAATGCTTTATTAGATCATTTCCTAATCGCTTGAGCTGAGACATTGAATGAAGAATCTGTGCTTAGTGGACCCAAATCAATAAACTCAGACTGATCCAACATTATGTTCCTTGCACCATTATCCCATACCCTTAGTAGCCATTCCCACACACGTTCTCCAGGTTTCTGTTTGTATATATTAGCAAAACAAGATGTTATTTTCAAAGGTAGCATACCTCTTCCTGGGTCACACTTTTTGCTTCACCTTTTGGAGCTCGTTGGGACTAGTTATAGTCCATGGTATTTTCAGTATTCTTTGCCAACGTCATAATTCAAATGCATTAATTCTTTGGTCTTATTCATTATCGGCTTTCACATGGAATTTAATTTATAGGTAAATATAAGTCTTCAATCCTCAAGTCTCCTTCATTAAAATTAAATAGGATGAAGATAAACCTGGTTTGTACAAGAAATACGTGTACGTTGTTTGGTATTTAGGAAAAGATTATATGCTTCTCATAGGTAAATAAGGATTCCTTTAAATAAATAGGTAGAGTGGAAAGCTCTTAAGCTTTAAAAGCCAGACAAACCTTGCTTCTAATCAGTCACTTAGTGACCTAGAGCCAGTTTCCAAGCCTTTATAGCTGGAGTTTCTCCTCTGTATAAATGGCAGTAATTTTGACTACCTATTTTGCTAGATTGTGAAATGTAAAAAGACACATGTGAAAACCTCAACTACAGGATCTGACATATAGATATGGTTAGATAAATGTTATTTTTTCCATTTGTTTTTCCTTCTTTCCCTTGTATATTTCAGATAGTCTCTGCATCATTCCCCTCCCCCACCGCCCCACCCGCCATGGACTGGAATATATCAATGGATGTAACAGCATACAATATTAATACATGGTTTTTAGTGTGTTTGTTTTAATATTCTTCCCACACACACACAGCTTTTCAAAATGGCATTCAATTCCATAGCACACTGAATAATAGTTGTAATGTCTGAATTCTGCCTAAAGTCAGTATAGTGAGATTACTGGTTGTTCTAAGTTTATATAGGAACCTTTGAACCTCTGTGTACCTCCAGATTTGACCACTACCCCCCCTTTTGAATTCTGCTAGTGTGTTTACAAGGCATCAATACACTCTCTTCGCAGTTTTATAGCTGTGAGTGACAGAATAGAGAAGTTACCCATGTATATCTGATGCACTCTCAGTGAGCTAGGATTAAAACATTTCCTAGCTCCTTAGTCGTTCTGCTCCTTTTGATGTCCTGTGGTCACCTGGGTAAATAATATTAATAGCACTGTTCTAAGTGCTTCTACATATATCAATCCTCATGACAGTTAACAGAGATAAAAAACAGAGAGCTGCCCAAAGTCATACAGCTATTAAGTGACAAACGGATTTGAAACCAGTCAGTCTACCTCCAGAGTCAGTGTTCTTAACCACACTGCTATGCTGATGTTGTTGTTGTTGTTATGTGCCGTCCAGTCAGACCCGACTCATAGCAACCCCTCCTTGGGTTTCCGAGGCAGTATCACTACGGAAGTAGATTGCCCCATCTTCCTTCCAAGGAGTGGCTGGTGGGTTTGAACCTCCAGCCTTCTGGTTAGCAGTCAAGTATAGTAAATTTATATGTAGCACAAATTACTTAAGATTTAAAAGTTTTGTTTTTAGGCTGGTTAGGTTTCTGGAGTAGTAAAGCTTATTAATTACTTAAAGGTTGCGTAATTTAAATATTCTTTTAATGAGTGCTTATTAAAAATTTTTTTTTTATTCTCTTAGGCATGAGGGCCCCTTGTTCTGAAATTATTTTGAGGCAAGAAGTTTTGAAAGATGGTTTTCACAGGTAAGTTGTCTCTTGATTTCTACTTAAGTTAAAATATTGTTTCATGTAATTTAGAGCAAAAAACCAGTAGTTGAAACATGGATAAGCTGAAAAATCACTTGCTTTCCTACAGTTTATCAGTGACAGATTTATAAATAATGTGGTTCACAGTTTGAAATAATGATAAAACTAACAAGAAAAAAAAGAAAACTGCCATTCATTATTTATCATGTATATATGTTATACACACACACAAAATATTCCATTCAGTTTTCACAACAGGTGTGAAATAGTATTTTTATTACTTTTCACATGAGGGAACTAAGGGCTCAGAGAATTTAAATAATTTGGTAGGACTCTGATTCAACTTTAGGAGAATCATAGTCCAAAGTAATGGTCTTAAGTACTATCATTTCATTATTTTTGACTTCTTAGACTTGGTGCCAAATGTCCAGACTATTTCCAAAGCAGAAATAATCCTCAAAAGCTGAATACTTGCCAATATTAAAGATATTTGAAAGAATGGTAAAAAGTTATGGAAGCAATTTTGTAAGAAACCTTCCAAAATCTTTTCAGTCTTGTCAGGGTGATTACTTTGAAGTGACTCTCAGGTATTTGACATATATTTATTTTTAAAAGCCACTTCTTTTTATAGTCACAAAAAAACCACAGCTCACTCTCCTCTTTTGTTACTAATTTTTGATGACCTGTTCAATTTCTTTTGTTATGGATCTGTTCAACTTTTCCATATCAGTCTTTGTTAGTTTAGGTAAGTAGTGTGTTTCTAGAAATCTGTCCATTTCTTCCAGATTTTCAAATTTGTTGGAGTACAGGTCCTCATAATATCCTGATATTACCCTCCTTGTTATGATGAAAGATGAGAATACATTCATTCAGGAAGTCCAATGAATCCCAAACAGGATAGACCCCAAAAGAAAATCACTAAGACATATCATCATCAAACGCATCAAAACCAAAGACAAAGACAGAATCCTGAAAGCAACATGGGGATAACAAAAAGTTACTTACAAAGGACTACCAGTAAGATTAAGCTCTGATTTCTCAGCAGAAACTATGCAAGCGAGAAGGCAATGGGATGGTATATATAAAACCCTGAAAGAGAAAAATTTTCAACCAAGAATTATATACCTGGCAAGACTGTCCCTCAAATATGATGGTGAAATTAGGAGATGTCCAGATAAGCAGAAACTAAGGGAATTTGTAAAACCAGACCAACCTTACAAGAGATACTAAAGGGAGTCTTTTGAAAAGAGAACCAATAATAGCAAACAACAATCAACCATTAATACACAAGATGACATAACCCAGAAACCACAGCTATGGACATATCCAAAGTAGAATAAGCTTACAAGATTGTAAACAGGGAACCAGAGGCATCAATTGACAAATGAGGACAACTACAAACCAAAAAGAATGAAAATACTGTGTAGCTACAGAACTTCTAACTGGTGAGGAAGTCAAGAGAACTGCAAGACAGAATGGACCGTTCTAAATTCAGGGAGAAAATTATAAATCACAGCGTACCCTCAAAGAAAAATGATAAAACTTCACATCACAATAAAAAAGAGGACAAGCACAAATATTCAGCAAATACTAAAACAACAACAACAAAGGAAGTGATAACACGATTCATAAATATAATGAGCTCAGCACAGAAAATAACATGGAACAAAGAAACCAGGGACACCATGAAAAAAAACCATAACAAAATGACAGCAACCAATTCATACTTGTCAATAATTACACTGAATGTAAATGGGTTAAATGCACCACTCAAGAGACGGAGAGTTGCAGATTGCATAAGAAAACAAACCCAATCAATATGCTGTATACAAGAGACCCACCTTAGAGACAAACACAAAAATAGACTAAAAATCAAAGGTTGGAAAAAGATGTATCAAGCAAATGGCAACTGTAAAAGACCAGGAGTGGCAATATTAATTTCTGATCAAATTGACTTTAAGACAAAAACCACTATAAGAGACAAGGTAGGACATTATATAATGATTAAAGGAGCAATTGAACATGAAGATATAACCATAATAAGTATCTATGGATGCAGTGAAAGAGCCCCTAAATACATAAATCAGATTTTAAAAGAGCTGAAAAGCCAAATAAATGACTCCACAGTTATAGTGGGAGACTTTAATATACCACTTTCAACGAAAGATAGAACAACTGGAAAGAAACTCAACAAAGATGCAGGACAGCTAAACAATACAATCCACCAACTTGACCTTATAGACATCTACAGAGCACTTCAC